CCCCCCCCCCCCCAATCTTTGTAAGGGGCTAAGGAACCTAAACTTGCAAACTATCTCAAGTTCTACTATACAGAGCTGTTGACAGATTCACCCATGATTGCAACAGGTCAGTAGCAGACCATGGAATAAAAAACAGGGCATTTCTCAATCTGCAACTCAACAGATACCTCTCCCTTTCCACATCAAATACCCTATTTATTTGCATACTACATGTACCCTTTTCCTAACCATCAGCCTTCCAAAACTGAAGAGAAGCTGCTTTTTGCCAAAGTAGAAGCATCAAGGAGTAGAAACATTAGGACACTGTCCTTCAAAATAGCTGCCAGTTTCTCTCCCAGTGCCAGCAAGCAGGAGGGGCACAGTGCAGTGTTAACTCTTTCACAGTCACTCAGATTGGAACTAATTTTTGGACTGCTTCCAATTTTAGAGCAGCTGTGAAAGGATTAACACTGGACTGCACCTCTCCTGCTTGCCAGCAGGGAGAGAAGCTGGCAGCCATCTTAAAGCATAGTGTCTTCATGAAAGAGCCAGTTCTAGGCTATGATTGTGGAAGAAAAAGAAATTCCTACATTCTGCCCTCCAAAAATAAGGCATGCGTCTTATTTGGGGCTGTGGGGTATGTGAGAAAATACAGTATTCTTCAGCCACAAGCAAGATTTGTGAGTAAATACAAGCATAGTTGAGACACTGCCATTTCCTGCCCAAAAGCTTGTTGGAGCTCCCTCCCACCTATACAGTTTATCCAATAAAAGATATTGCCCTGTCTCTGAAAATTTGTTCTTGTGTTATTTTGCACTCAAAGCCATTACCTGCTCAAAGCCAGGTTCATTGTGATAGGGGTTCTCAGTCATCAAAGACTGTATGGAGATGAGCACTGAAGAGATGCTCTGTGCTGGGCTCCAAGCAGGTCCAGTCCAAGTGCTGAGACATCAAAACACAGAAGCATTATTTAAATACCACAGCAAAAACATCATAGAGCATCCACCCCCTGCCTCCTAGTCCTTTTTATAGTCACCATACTGGATCGTACAAAGGCCAAGTTTGGAAATTGGAAAACCATCAGGTGTAGACACCTGCTAAGGGAAAAATATGCCAATGAACAAAACCTACCAAGAGCCCTGGTTGGCCTATAACAAGCTATATGTTCATGGGTTGGAACTAGTGTGTTTCTTCTTCCCCAGCTCTGAACCTACATCTGAAATTCTGGTAAGTGTTGTTTTGCTGCCAGTAGGTCAAGTCCCTTAGAGACAAAAGAGAGCTCAGGAAAAGCAAGACATATCAGAGTCAAGGGCCCAGGTTCTTTAAGAGACTAAAATAATAACAGCGCATCTTACCTGGCTTTGGCACTGGCTCAGAGAAGACTCCAAAATAAAAGGAACTCCCCTCTCCATGGGAGAGGCCAAAATAATTATCTTTAGGCTTAAACCTGACTTTCAAGTTTAAGTGAATTGTTGGCTTTGATGGTGATACTTTTATGGCTTGTTCTACAGTAGGCTTAGAACTGAAAGTTTCAACTGACACTGTGGGCACATCTACACGTCGTCCTATGGCAACGCTGTTAGTGTGCCATGCTATAGTACTTCCTTTTGTACATGCATACTGAATGGTATGCACAGGGCATGGTTAGTCTTAGCCACGACTTCGCTGTAGCGGCATGCTAAAACAGGGGAGCACACTGCTATGGCAAAGTAGCTGCTGGTCATGTGTAGACTTATGTGATCACTATGTTGCCATAGCACGTCACTACAGTGACGTAGGGTGACATGTAGACACGCACTGTATGTCCCTACTTCATATATAGCCTACCCCTAAGGTAGGACACGATTAGAAAAAAGTTAGCAGTCTCCCAGCAGCCATGAATGGTTTGCTACAGACCTTTCCCCCAGCTGAAGCAACAGTGTTTCAAAAAGAGAGTGCATCTGGCACCTGGCACTGCTCCCCAAACACTTTCCCTTTACAACTCCCTGCTTTCAGTTTGGTACCCTCTAATGTGATTTCCCACATGTTCAGACCATCTTCTCGCCATGCTCACCAGCAAGATGAGAACCCATCTCCACCCTCCATGTCAAGAGTCTTCCTTGTCTTAACCACTATCTTACCCTTGGCATACTTGGAGACAGTGAGACCCCTACAACTTGCATTCATTTCACTGTAAGTTGCTGGTGCCTGGCACCACTCAGAATCAGGCCTTTTTACTAATAGTCCTTCTGAACAGGGAAGAAATTGGTCCTAATCCTGCAGGCACGGGTATTCTTTAAGCACACCAGTCCCATTGGTGCCATGGGGACTGTCGTGCTCTTAAAACTAAATAGGTGCTGCTTAAGTGTTTTCAGAGTGGGAGCCTGGCTGTAGGACACAGTACTACAGCTGTGAGTTCTACATCATTATCCTCAAGTGCAGGTGGAAGCAGTTAAACGGCTTTCAAGGAAGTGCTTAGTGGCTTTTAATTTCCATTTAAAAACCAACATGCACACAGAGGAAATTAAAACCACAAAAAACATACATCTGAGCAACACTGAGGGACATAATTCAAGCCATAAAAGCAGAAGAATTGCAGAGTTCAGACTGAGACCTTCAGTGTGTCAGGGGGAGATGGGACAAGAGCAGTGACAGCCAGTCTCAAAGAAAGGAGCTCTGAGTTTCCGCCTTCACTCTCCATATCCTGATTTTTGTGGTTTTGAAGAAAGTCAGACCATCTCATTAGCAAAAAACCTAAGATTTTTTTTTTGGCAGCTTTTGTGTCCCACAGGTGACTGCAAGCAAGGGGCTGGCTGCATGGACAGATGCAGCAACAGAATTGGGGCCTAGAACATGCGAAGAACGATGCATGTTACAAAAAAACAGCCTGGAGCAACCTCTCAGTTTCACCTTGATATACTGGAAGTCTCCTCTTACCCCAGAATACTCAGGCAGACTTTCCCATTGCGGTAGAAGTTGGGGTTAAACCTCACTGTGTTATTCCCTGTTGTCATCAATTTGACCCTTGGTGGGTGGATGGGATAATCTGGAGGACAGCGAAACAGGAACAAGAAGAAACCCCCTTCATAAGGCGTGTCAAATGGGCCTGTGATCAATGCATGAATCTGGAAAACAAAAGCCCATCTTGCGCACCACTTCGAAATTGTGCAGCACCGTCAACTTCTCGAACAAGACCCGACAAAGATGAGAAATCTCAGCAAGGGCAGAGCTAACAAGGCCTCTCCTGCCAGTGCCATGCTCACAGGCTGCTACCCCCACCCCTCATGCAAAACTCCTGGAGTCTAAACTACTGCTGCACCTCTCTCCCCCAATAGCCACACATGTGTGTAGTGCATGCCTGTACAGCAACACCTGCATGCACCTTTGGGCACACCTGCATAAGCAAGCACAAATGAAGCAACATTTGTCACAGGAGCTCTGATTTTAAAGAGTTAAAGAAAAAGATATTCGCAACCTTTCACTGATTCCACTGCACCCCCTTCCCAGCATCTGTACTTCTAACCAAAAGAGGATTTTTCTTGGTTGGCCAATACTCTGCTGATTTGTACTCAATGAAACTGAACAGGAGTGATCAGCTCCTGATCTCTGTCTAGACCCCAGTCTATTATCTCCCCACAAAAGTGGCACCTGAATATCTCTGATGTGCACAGTCTGTTGGGCTATTAGCTGTACAAGACTCCTTCCTTTGCTTTAACATATATGACCACCTGGATCGCTGGGATTTTTAGTCACATGCCACCCCGAGACGTTTCAGGGCACTGTCTGTGATGACATGTGGTCTTAGGTGAATTTATGGCTGCCAACTTCTTGGGTCAAAGAGCTAATTAAAGGGTTGAACTATTCTTTCAGGCTTGAATTTTCTCCAAAGGAACATTCCCTTGTAGCACCTCTTTAAAGCTCAGAGGCCCTGAATTCAGGCAAAAGTTTGAACTGGTGGAATCAGGAGTGGCAGGTTGGTTGGGAAGGTAGGAAAAATGGGTGGCAGCAGAGGAAAGGGGAGGGAACATCTTCATCAACAAGCCCCAACCTCCAAAAGCTGGTGCAAACCAAAGATTGAGCATGGCCAGAGAAAGCTGGGGATGCGCTGGATCTAGAGGCTGCTCAGGAGTCCTCACAACTACTTGGGGCAGTCCTCCTTGGCAAAAACCTTATAGTCTGGCATTCACAAATGACTGCCTGCCCTCCCTCAGGGAGAATACCTTAACTGGGGAACAGGGAACCATGCAAAATACATCTTCCTGCCTCAGCCTGGGTAAATCATGCCCACGTCAGTTGTCAATTTAAAGTTCTTTCAGAAAGAGTGCAGGTGCCCTGACTATGCTAAAGAGAAGGGAATGGGGTGGGGGGGGGGGGGGGG